ATTAAACCTTTTTTAACAAAACGTTAATCTTTCTGGCCATAGTCCACATCATCATCATTAAGTTGCATCATACTTAAATCTGTTTAAAAATTATCTTAATAGCCTTATTTCGGAAACAAAAGTTACCAATAGCAATTTAATTAGTTTCTATAAGAAATCGCGTTTCATTTAAAACTATTTATCTTCCAACGAAACATGAACTAAATTCATGATTTCTGTTGATACTTTACTAAATATTTACCTAACGTTATGGCGTTGTTTTTGCAGATATCTTCAGATTAGTGGTAGTAACCAGAAGTTATAATAATAAAAAGAAATAAATATTGTTATCTTACAAGACAGTTGATAATCAAGTGAAAGGAGATATTTATTTTAAGTAACATTACATTAGAAAAGACTGTTTACATGATTGATAATTTCGTTTATTCATTTATCCAATTATCCATTCTCCTGACAGTCCACGAAATGTTTAATTAATAGTCCACATCTCAACAACTTTCAGTCTCTACATGAATGTCTGCTAGAGCCCATGTCTCAATAAGTGTATATAAAAAGCAGGGTTGACTTCAGAGTATTGCACGCTCTGAGGCAACAAATAAAAATATGAGCCCTTCGTCCACACGAAAAAACCTTTTCTGTGTGGGTGTTGGCCGTCCTCCTCTAGGGAATGTCTTCTATTTTTATTAGTTCTTAACGATGGCATAACTTTTCTATCCATCTAAATGCAAAGTTTATTGTTGGGCCAGTGAAAAAAATACTTTACCAAGATACTAAAAAACAAAAATAATAGTATATTACTTTATGAGGCGGAGAAGCATGACTTTTCTTGACGCGCCCGATATTACGCGCCGAACGAAGTGAGATAATAGAGGGCAAGTCAAGAAAAAGTCGCTTCTTTGCCGAATAAAGTATACTGTTTTTTCTTCAAACGTAGCAATTTTCAACCGTAAATAGTACAATTCATACGCTATTTTTACTCGAAATTAACTGTGACAACTATCAAAGTCGTCTAGATGTTAGAAATTAAAATAATTAAGTCGTCGGTGGGATTTGCGTCTCCCTGGTTACAGTTGTTTGACAGTTGTTTGCGATTATTAAAGACAGCTTATTGTTGTTGCAACCGCAAGCGCAAATTTAGTGCGAAAATGGAAAACCTAAACGAAATTGAGTCCGCGGCTAATGATGCAGTAGCACGTTTGGGGCCCTCCAAGTCCGGAATAAACTATCGGTTAGCGTACAAGCACTTCCAAGAGTGGTGCGATACAAGAGGAGTACGGCAAGTTTACCAAAGACGTTTTACTGGCATATTTTAATATAATGGAAAATGAAAATAAATGGAAATCTTCTACAATGTGGTCACGATACTATATGATAAAATCCTAGCTAGTTATTAGAAAAAATGTGGATATAAGCAAATTTTTAAAGTTACGTGCCTTTCTGAAAAAAAACAAGCGAAGGGTATATACTGCAAAGAAGTCTAAAGTTTTCACTAAAGACGAGTTTGATAAATTTTTGTTTGAAGCGCCAGATAAGTTGTATTTAGGATTAAAGGTAAAAAATATTATATTGCAAAACATGTAGTATACTCTACTAAATCATAAAAATATTTCAGATTGTTTTGTTAATTGGGGTTACCGCCGCCTATCGATGCGACGAAATGGTAGAAATGTAGACTGTGGACATTGAGGATAAGGAAAATGTAATAATTATCAAAATCCCACACAGTAAAACACGACAAATTAGATCTTTTACGATAATTGGTCAAAACTACATTAAACTGTATAAAAAGTATGCATCACTGCGGCCTGAAAATTTCACAGAAAACAGATTTTTTATTAAGTACCAAAATGGAAAGTGTTACCGAAGCGTCATGGGAATACATTCGAACAGTGCAGTAGCCCAAAAAGTAGCTAGTTATTTAAATTTAAACGATGCAAGCGCATACACAGGTCACTCTTTACGACAAACTTCAGCAACACTTTTAATTGATGGAGGCGGAAATCTAGAATGCCTCAAACGACATGGGGGCTGGAAATCAAGCACGGTTGCCGAAGGATATATAGAGGATTCAATAAGAAATAAGAACGATAATGCTTAAAAAATTTTAAACCCTCATGATTCGCCAACATCGGGAATGATTGCTGAAAGTTGTTCTCGACCATCAGTATCATCAACAATTATCAATGCGTATCAAGAGTCGGGAATATTTTTGCACGGTTTCAATTTTGAAAATGCCTCATTAACTACTTGTACTTTTAATATTACTATAAATAAAAATGATGTTTAATTGTTGTTAATGATATTTTTTCCTGACCTAAAACTGACCTTTTTCCTAAGCTTGGGAACGAGATAGAAAATTCAGGATCAATATCTGAATCTCTAGCACTTATTGTTGCTGATTCGACATATATTTTAAAATGATCGTCAGGTCTTTGGGATACCAAATATTTTTTAAGAATATCTAGCCTTAAATGCATTTCGCTATACATATTTAATTTAGAAGTTAGAAGCATTTTACTTAAGACATCAATTGTTGTTACTAAATTATGCCAAATTACAGCTGAACACAAGCATTTAAATGTTTTTAGACTTTTAATTATTGATTTTAGCCCCTTGGTCTTATTTTCAGCGTCTCGAGTAGCGATTGGGTCGCCATCTAGAACTACTGTGAAGGCAACAGGATCCAGAGATTTCACTCTCCAACCAACTGCATTATTCCATGTATGTCTTCCTTAGGTACTCTGTTCAATGGATCCTTCCCATAGTACCGCATTATGGTCACTGGCTGTGTATCCAATACCTTTCAAGAACACTTCCCCTTAACAAGTGCCGGCAAGTGCTGATGAAAGTGAGATTCACAATGGAACTTGCTCCTCTTCTAGTAAATATAGGTGTATCACCACTGTTAAGCAAGACAACATCTAGCGTTGCCATAACCTCTAATAACACTTTCCCCAGCGCATTAGTGTTCTTGCTGCCCCAATCCACTGCTCAGGCGTTGAAGTCTCCAGCTATTGCCATTTGATCCATAAAGTCAATGAACTCATTGAGTAGGTGACAAGGTAGAGCATAGCAACTGTAGAAATGGATACCATCTACCTTTGCCATAACAAAGCCAGATTCTGTGTTCTTAACCACGTTCTGAAAAGGTAACTTGTCGCAGGATCAGATGACAGCTTTATCATTGCTGTCCATTTCTCAAAGTTGGGTAATTAGATGCTTATATGGCTTAGACGTGTATGTGTATAAATATCCACTAGGAAACTAAGTTCCTGTAGCTGGCTGTATACCATATATCACAAAAAATTTATTTAAAATCCTTTATAAAAGGTATATAACAAAATGCCCAAACGGGCTATCACAAAGATATTGCAAAACGTTTTCGGATTATTAAATCCATCATCAGTGCAAACCTGAAAGTAAATAACCACTTTAATTAAAAGTACGTTGAATTTAAAATGTTGACTAAGGTTAAAGAACATTGTGGTTAATACTTACGAGGTATACATGTTATGAGCCACCAAAATATATGGGTCCAAACCCTTTAAATGATATAAATTTACATTTGATTTACATTATATGTGGTTACAAATTATGATGTTTAAGTTACCGTTGGAATTGGTAACATGGCGACGTATGACCCTACATAGGTAAAATGGTCCTGAGACGAAGTGTCTTCGAGGACCTGTTGATAACAACTGATCAAAATGACATTGTTGGCATGTTAGAACGGATGTTGTGTCAGAGCAGTCAGTGTAACTTACGGTAGTTGTCTCAAAATGACAGATGTCAGCATTATTTAAAATTGAAAAAATTAAAATTATAATAATGTAACAGTATCAACCATCAATGTTGTAGTCTGTAATGTGAATTAATCATATGGCTATATTGGAAACATTGAAAAATTTGGTTTTTTTTAAAATTAATGTGAGTAAACTGGAGTTTATGAAATTTTGTAGGATCAGTAGGCAACAAACTATACATGTGTAGGGATTTATATGTTCTAAGCTAAAAAATTTTTATCTAAAGGCCCTGTATGTTGTGTAACATTTGGTACCTAGAAAATGGTAAAAAATGGCAAAAATGTGTATGTGTATGTCTGTGTCTGTGTTAAGTGTGTGTGGGTCGTGATCAATCAACAAATCTACGGTAGTGACATAATTGCAGCTTTTGTGCCATGTTCAGTTGGCCTCTTACTGTTTATTTGATACACATTTTTTTTAAACAGTCTATCAGTTTGTCATATTTTAGTTGGTCAAAGTTTTCTCATAGTCAATAAAACAAAGCAAAATTTTTGCTGATCTCTATTCTTCTACGCATTAGAATACTTTAATCAAATTTTGCAACTGCTTTTTTATAATTATATGCATATCATTACAGTTAAAACTAGTCTTCCTGGCTACATAGCTGATAATGGGATAAAAATGATGAAAAACGTCATCACATAAACTCGTGCCTAAATTTTTAAAAGAGAATGATAATGAAATGACCCCAAATCTAGTTTTAAAACTTTTAAATTGAAATAGGTAATCGAATGACCTTTTATTAGAAAGGTCTTTCAATTCTGAATTTAATTATGTATACATATCTATGATTTTTCTTTTGCTGCATATCTATAACGATTTTATACATTGATTAATGCCGTCATGCTTCTCCAAATGTAGGTACATTTAAAAGAAATATCTTTGTATTTTGACATAGAGTAAACAGTTTGGAGACACAATTTTTCAGTATGTTAGGACCTTGTTAATACATAGACATATTCGTAAATCGTTGTTATTGTTTTATTTTTGGGTAATTTTAAATATAATACACTTAGCTTGCTTAATTATTGTTGCTGGGATGCAAATGTTGAACAACAAACACAAAGCTAACAATGTTTTGCTCATTATTTACCAAAATTAGATTATCATATCTCATTGTAAGCTTATCAAACGTACTTAATGTAATTCAAACCGGCTCTGCTCCGCTCTGTATTGTTTTTAATTCGAAAATAAAAAGGTTAAGGAGCTATCAGCGAGTTCAAGCCTGGAAAAAGGTCGTTGGAATCGTATGATAAATATACCAGCGCGATTCGCAATCCACTTAGTCCAGCTACAGTTATTACAGACACGATACACGATAAGTATTTTCGGTTGTTCAAAATGTTCGTAACGCACCATTTTTCTATCGACGAAGTGAATAATTTGCTTAGTGAGAGTTTCGTTAGGATTTTTGGCAATGTGGTAGAACACTTTCCTGCTGCTGCTATTGGAATTTTAAAATGCAGACCTTTTAACAACAGCAATGCCCTGATTCAGGCCATTTGTGACTTTTTGGATGGCTTAAAAACACATGGTAAGTGTTCACTTGACAAAAGTTATTCTGTTTTACCTGACATTTTAAGCGTATCCATACTTTTAACAATGTTTTAACACAACTACACAACTACACAAAACATTTTATATTGTTTTGCTCTTATTTGTAACAAGTTTGAATCCCAATGTTTAACGTTTGATTCCCTGGTTTAAACTTTTTTATCTATACCTAGTTCATTATTTACTTTTATTGTATATATAAACTATCCATTCTGTAATTCGTTTCTTTTTAGATCGAAGGAGATTTATTATATTTAGCTAAATTTTAAATTTGCTAGTTTTTCTGTAGATCTATCTAAATTTTAGGTTAACATTTTAATATCGGTATTTCTTACATTTGTTATGGTTCTTACATTTCAGATTCTTTGTTTTTATGTTTCTTAAATTGCGTTTATTCGTTTTTTCCTAAATATATACATTTAAGATTTTTTTTCGTAAAATAACACGGTTAAAAATTAGTTTTTTCATAAAATATTGCCAATGGAATTTAACGTCTGCACTAAAATTTAAGTTACTATTTATTTCTATCTCTGCTTATTCCAATTTTTAAGTTTCTGCATATTTTTGTTTTTCTTTTCAGTATATTTTTATTCCTATGTCTCAATTTTGATCTTTTTTCCCTTTTTAAGTTACTTTTATTAGTATATTCTTCTCAATATTCGTTTTCTAGCACCTTTCGTACCTCATCAGTTTCTTTTTTTTTTCAGTGAAATATAATTCGGCTTTTCTTATTTTGTTTGTGTACTGACTTTTGCAAAAAAAGGAAGCTGAGCAATTATCCAGATAAATAGGTCTTCTTTACTTTAATCAATGTGTTTATATATTTCCCCATGTTGTAGATTATGAGCACACTATCTCTCATTGCCATTAAAGTGAATAAACAAGATTACCAGGCGCCATCCTATTTTCCTTTTAGCGATATTATAACCACTTTTTATTTGTCTATAAGTTTTGTGATATCGGTATAAAATAATTTTGTTTTTAGCATGATACGGGTGCAATGAACCTTGTAGCACAATTATAAATTCAATGATTCTACAGATTCGCCTCAACATATTATCTTGTCAAGTATGGTTAATATCATCTTTCTTATTAATGCTATCTAGTGTCTAATAATGCTTGTTTGTTTCAGAAAAAGAAAAGATTTTCCAGCTCTATCCAGACATCTTAGATAGCGCCATATGCACATCGCCCATGATTTACGAAAAAGAACCATCATTTGTTAACATCGAAGAAAAGAGGAAGCTCCAGGAACTAAATAGTCGCTATAAAGACAAATTCGGCTACCCTTTTATCACCACCATCAGCGACGTCAACCACCTCTACTCAGAAATCCAGTCGAGGATGGAAAACAACAAGGACGATGAGTTGCAAAGGACCTTGAGGGAGGTTAAGGCGATTGTGTATTTGAGAGTACAGGACATTGTGAGCTAAGTACGTTTCAAAGACGTTGTGGGACGAGACGAAAACCTGTAACAAGGTTCAGCTGTATCGATTGTACACCTTAGAGTACGAAGAAGGTTAATTTACATAAGATTTGAGGTTATCTACGAAATAGAGTACTATTTTCTAATATTTATTCTAATGATATGCTTTATGAAGAAAGTTTTGCTGTTGTACTAACTTGTTTAAACCTCTAGATCTAGACGTTCAGTATCGTTCTACTGGTTCATCTTTACTTTTTTGACTGATGTCTTTCAACATTTTTCTGATAAGTACTATAATAATGTGATGTTACTCTTTATGACATTAAATCTTTGAAATATACTCCTGCCATCACATTTTCTCATAACGTTTTCTTTTACCTCTTTTTCTTCTTTAATTAACAAACCAAAAGTTTTTGTAACACAGACTGTACGTAAAAATACAGTCTTTAAACTGATATATTCTACGATTGTGTCAACGACCATTTATTAGTTCAAAAAATTACAACAAGACATTTTTGCTGTCCGTATTTCTTTATATGAACATATTTTAAATAAAATATGTAAGTTTGAATGTATTTATTTATGTAAACATCGAATTTCTGTGATTTGCTACAAATTCCTGATCGTAGTTTCAGATATTCTTTAAGTATATCAGTCTATATGCATAGGTTATTTTAAGATAGATATTGCGTATATGTTCACACTTTTTTATATTAATTTTAATTATTTGTACATATATTATTAGTTTTAGAAAGATTTGACATTATAAAAACCGGTTTTTACTGTACATAGATAGTTTTTGTTTTTTTTTTATATTCTAAGTATTAATTTTTTATACGAAAAGTATTGTAAATATTTATATAAAATAAATAACTGAGTTATATATGCATTTTTCTTTCTACAGACTAGGGTGACCAAATCATAAACTTAAAAAAACAGTGAAACCCCCCAAAAAGGACTTGTGGCAATACCCTTCAGCTTAAGGGGGGTCAAGAAGGGCCACCATCAGGATTTAATCATTGAAATAAGCTCTTTTAGCTAATTGTAGACCTATTAATGTTTTTTCAATTTAACTATGAATATGTACTTTAATTTAACCCTTTAACAGGCAGAATTATTTTTTTTGTTTTGAACAACAAAAGTAATTCATTATGCATCATTAACAAGACCAAAAATGTTAAAAATATTTTCTTTATCAACAAGCCTGGAAATGGCAATAGCTATAGCTAGTAGTGTGCATTTTGACAAACAACTAATACTTACTGGGCAATGGTATATATAGCGACCAGTAAAAATAATTACAAAAATTATTATAAATAGGTTCACAATTATCAAATCAAATCAAATCGAATCAAATAGGATTAAAAATGAATCTCGACAAAACAAAGATATTAAGCAACAGCCTAGAAAACATCACGATAGATAACATCAGTATAGAAAAGGTAGAACAATATACTTATATATATCTAGGACATGCAATTAAAAACGAAAAGGAAAATCAAACCCTAGAAATTAAAGGAAGGACACAATTATCATGGGCTGCTTTTGGTAAGTTGAGCTTCATTTTAAAAGACAGAAAAATCCCAATTCACTTAAAACGAAAATCCTATGACACTTGTATACTACCAGTTGCAACTTATGGATTGGAAACTATGGCAATAACAAGAAAAATGGCAGAACAATTAAGAGTAACTCAACGGGCCATGGAGAGGGCCATGTTAAATATAAGCCTCAGAGACAAAATTGCTAACACCGAAATACGTCGAAGAACTAAAGTAACCGACATCATGGGAAAAATAGCGACATTGAGATGGCAATGGGTAGCATATGTAGCAAGACAAGACACCGACAGATGGTCTCATAAAGTGACATTCTGGAGACCTCGAGAAACAAAAAGAAGCGTGGGAAGACCTAGAAAGAGATGGATAGACGATATAACTGCTGTAGCTGGAAAGCAGTGGATGAGAATTGCAGAAGATAGGGAAGCGTGGAAGCAATTGGAGGAGGCCTATGTCCAACATTGGATAAATGAAGGCTGAAGAAGAAGAAGGTTCACAATTTGTCGATAGCTCACTACAAGTTTAACCCTAATTAGAGAACTAAAATACTGAGAGGATAGGTAATATGATATAATATTAAAAACCAACCTGAAACTGACGCTTTAAGATGTTTTCGACTAACCTACCTTGTATCTGAAGGAATACAATACAGCAGTCAACCTTATAATCCGATTACGAAGGTATTTTGGTTACAGATGACCGACCAGTGTCGTGGAGTATATGATTGAAACATTTATTTGAACTGAATAAATATATTTTTTAAATTGTACTTATGTAAATTGTATTTTTGTTTTAATAAAACTTAAATAAAAAATAAAAAGTTTCTTGCCATTTGTAAAAGATACATTTATTTAATTAAGGGGAAAGGCATCAAATGTCGCCTAGTAGTGTATAATTGTACAATCAAATGAGGAGGAGGTCAATAACCTGTTAATCTAGACAACATTTAGTAATAGAGTAGAATATTAATTAGTTTAACGCCAGTTTGAGTAAATTGAAAAAGGGAGGAAAAATATATGATATTTTGTGCTGATTAGTAGTGATTAGCATACTAGCTCATTCATCAACGAAAATCAGTGACCATGTTAAAATGAGGAGTGGTTATGATCATGCATCAACGAGCAGAGTATTCGGTTTGTCTGGACTTGATCTAGAAACTAGTAGAACATTGGGAAGTAGAGGTAGTGGAAAGAGTAAGGAAAACGTGAAAGAGGGGTAGGAAAACGTGTATAAGAACCCGTGACTTGCAGACATGGATCATAATTTCAAAATGAGTGCTACATATCAAAACGTATTTGTGGGTGAACGCCGGTTTTACCTGAACCCATCAAACTGTTTCTGTTCGCCTAGCACTTTTGTATATAAGAGTCGTTTGTAAATAAGGAATTTTCAACAATCGATCGAATAGAACAGAATAACTTAGAACGAGATCCTACAGCATACACAAGGAATAATACGAGGAAAATAACAATACCGTACATAAAAGGATTATCAGAAAAACTTAAAAGGATAGGAAATAAATTCAACATTTCAACAACATTCAAAACAACAAACACGTTGAGATCTATTTTGTTCAAAACCAAACCTAACAATGACAAGAAAGGACAAAGAATTGCATTTATAAAATACCTTGTGAATGCGATCAGTTTTATTTAGGTGAAACATCAAGGCCATTGAATGTTAGAATAAGTGAACATCAATCTTATATTAAAAATAGAGAATTTGATAGATCTGAAATATGTAAACACGCATGGGATAATGAACATAGGGTTCAATGTAATAATTCAAATGTAGACTTAAAAGAAACGGATGGTAAAAAAAGAAAAATCAAAGAAGCGGCTCTAATTATGCTAAATGAGGCCAATTGTGTCGCAAATTCCTCGGTAGAATGTAGTACGATCTGGTTACCAATATTGAAAGAGGAAGTTATTAATAAGAAAATACCAGTATTAGTAAGTCAGTAATATATAGAGGATACATCATTTATGTTTTTTAAATAACGAAACATACAAAATCAGAATTTTGGTGTTTATTGAAGGTAAACTAAATGCACGAACAAATACTTACCATGTCGGGATAGTATTATGAAGTTTTTTTCCTGGTTTTTCCTTCATAATTTACTATGGAATCACTAACAGTAGAATTTTACTGTCATCATGTCATGTGTTTGTCTTTTTAAAGACGAATTACATGCTATGAATTTTTTCTGACGGATATTCTCAAGTTAAAGTTGATTTCATGTAATCGAATGAACTATCTTATAAGTAAAGTCGTCCCAGGAGCGCAACTCAACAATATTGGCAATATCATTTTAAAGTCGTCTACTTTAAAATGCGTAATGTATGTCTGAATTGTCAATATAAATGAGTCAGATAAAATTAAATTATTAGAAGAATTTTTCTCTATGTAACAAAAAACAAAATTTGTTTAATTTACTGTTTGTATTTTGGGAACGATTTCCGAAGTGGAAATTGAAACGGCAATAAACATATTTTTATCTTTAATTGTGGCTTATTCCCAGTTAAATAGTAATTAATTTGAAAATATATTCTATAACAGTATTGTTCTGCTGCAGATTGAGTAGGTGGAAGCATTTTGATAAATGAAAGTTCTTTTTTTGGCATCCTTTCTTAAAACAGAAATATCGGAGATTATTCAATTTAATTTTAGAACTTTTACCATATACAACGCAGCTAATATTTTAAGACCTGCATTTTTTATTTGCATAAAAAATATAGGACCCATTTCTGCTTACTTTTCCCGCGCTAAAAGTATTAGACGTGTAAATTTCAAACACTTAAGTTGAGTAAATAAAAAAACCATAAAGTTTAATTTCGACTCAAAGTATTTGTATTTCGTGGTGCTATTTTTGGCACAAACAAGTAATTGAATAAATTATAATACTCGCCCAATGAAATATTTCTTGATATTATACACAACAGATTAAGGAGATCATGTGAATAACCACAATTTGGATTATTTTAATAAGAAAATATTTTAGTTGCTCTGAGGGTAAAGCTGTTGTAAAAATTTTTAAAACTGATTTTTATTGGCTTTGAATTTTTTTTGCAATTCCAAGATCTTTCCCGATGAAACATAGACACCTGCTGGATGAGTGTAACCATTTCTTTTTCTCTGGAACGAATATTAACCCTGGAATATCACACCTATTTTTTTTGACATACACCTCACATATGGGTATCAGATACCCATTGATTTTTTGTGAAGAAATAAATAAAAAAGTAAATATTTTATGATTTCCAGGGACGGTCTAGTCACTATTGAATACACAAGAATCATTAAATCAATCATTTTATTTTCTCTCTCTTGATTGTAGTAATACAAAAGAAAAAAATATTAAAAATGTTTAAAAATATTTAACAAACATTTTCTAAAAAACCAGAAACCTAATTCAAAATATTTTACCCTAATATAACAACCAAATGGTCTTTCTAACTAAAATCTAACACCTTTTGATTATAGAACTCATAGTCATTCTTAGCCAGGTATTTCAATTTCACTCATTTTGGTGATTGCATTCACAACACAGTTTAGCTCTATTCTCCATGCAGTATGCTTTACGGCAAGCCGAGCATGCATGCTTCGTTTTTCTATCTTTTCCTTTGCAGAGATAACACCTAGTTTGCTTCACTAAATTTGTGGGATGTTGTGTTGGAAGGTCTTCAACTTGGAGAATGCCACAAATTGATTGACTGAGTGATTTCGGTAAAGAAGGTATTTGAAGTCTCTCTTGCAGTAATGGTTCAATTAAAGCCATTCCCGAAGACTTCGGAAAAGATTTTCTATTATTAGATGCAGTTTCTCTCCAATGGGTATTTGCGAGAGAAAACAGCACCATTGCATTTATGCCACTTGCATCAAGCATGTTAAAAAAAAATCTTAGTGGCCATCGTCTGCATGTTTGTGATGTAGTATAAGAATGGCATAATTGATCGAACGTATCTGTACCTCCTTTTGATTCATTATAGGTGTGTATAAGGTTTGGTTTTCCTGTATCAGCATTTAATGAATTATCATGATGTAATGTTGACAGCAAGAGAACCGCTTTTTTGGGATTTGGAGTGTATGAGATGATAGTTTTATTTTCGTCGAATGCAAATAATGATGTACCTACTTCTTTTTTACTGAGAAAAGACGGTGGAATTTCTCGTTTATTTTTTCTTAGTGTACCCAAGATAGTTAGTTTGAATTGTCTCATCATTTCATCAGCAAGAGGTATTGAAGTAAACCAATTATCTACTGTTATATTTCTGTTGGTTCCATGTATTGGTTCCGACAATTTCCGAACGTAACAAGCTGGTAC